ACTGGAAATTTCCCCCACATTAAGATAACGCTGACAACGCAACCACTTTGAAAGCCTTACTCTGCCTGGCTTCACTCAGCCTAACTCTAGGGAAGGTTCGAGGTGAAGCATTCCACACCAGCATCCAATCTATTTTAAGAGCATACCAGAAAAAATAGCTCCTGGAGCTGGAGAGACGGCTCAGCAGTTAAGAGCACTGCCTACTCTTACAAAGGACTTGGGTTTCTGGCCTGAGTGTCCACATAGTGGGGATCACAACTGTCTATATACCCAGTTTCAGGGGGGTCTGATGCCCTCTTTTGGTTTCCTTGGGCACTGCACATATGTGGGTGCACTTATATACAGGCAGGCAAAACATGCATTCACGCACACACACAAAAAAATAAAAATAAATAAAGCTTCTGATAAAAGAGGAACAGCTTCTCACTTATTCATTTGTGTGGTATGTTCAAGTTGAATTTTTTGTGGTAACATCTTTAGGCAAAGAACAGCTAATAAAATATGCTGTGATTTATCAAATTTAGATCGACTCAGAGTAGAGGAAAGGTCGTGGAGGTTCTTTGCTGTGGAAGGCTTTTCTCGCAGTGGAGTATGATAAAACACAAGGTAGGATCATTGAGGAGATTTGTGGGAGTAGATTTGTTTGAAAATATCTCATGCCTTCAGAAATTGAATGCTTGCCAGATCTTGCAACCAAGCTCATAATATGCCTGAAAATCATTTAAAACTCTGCATTCTGCTTCTCTACTACGCACTCTGCTTGTTCAATTTGCATTTAAGAAAACAATGTAACCAATCTTACTACGCCCTAGACTTCTTATGTAATCAGCCTTTACAATCTAAGCTAAATACTTAGCTTTAATCTTGAATTATGTACTCTTCCATGCCCCAAGCTCAGAATAGTGCATGAGCGCATGTGTGCGTGCGTGCGTGCGTGTGTGCGTGTGTGTGTGTGTGTGTGTGTGTGTGTTGTGGTAATAATTTAGCTAATAGGTTGAAAGCAGCCTTAAGGAAAACAGGTATCCACCATAAAGGCTGGAGATGAGGTGTGGATATAGGCTTGTAACATCTGTTTGCAGCTTGAGTGTTCTTCTGTGTCGACTGGAGTCAGGCAAATGACTTCTTCCCTTGTGAAACTGTTAAGGATTTCTGTAGAAGAGAACTCATCACTCCCCATGCCATGCTTCCTGTGCTGTTCAATACATGCAGAGCAAACCCCTTTTTTGGGGGGCAGAGGCTGGACAGACATCGAACACAAACGATAGACAGACAACACACAGGCCATAGACCACAGATGACAGACAGATGGAAGGTACAGGGAGAGAAGTGGAGATGTCACATTTGGGCTCAGTCTCAGTTTAAACTACTCCAGGAGGACGACCCTTTTCATTCTTGGATGCTGTGTTGACATAGGATCCCCTGAAACTTCTTCTGTTGGGTCTGCCGTGACCCAGATCCTAGGACACTGTAAACGTACAGCAGAGTGACTCCTGAGAGGAGGTCTGGGATGAGCTGGGCTCATAGCTACCTGTGGTGTGTCTCAAGGTATTAAGGCAGAGTGATGTATGTGGGGAACTAGGGATGCTCCTTGGGAAGAGGGTCGGGTAGATGCTGAGGCAGGGGGATGTACACTGGTTCTCTGTACCTGCCTTCTCTTCCTTACAGTGACTTTTCTAAACCCTGTGTCCCCATCAGGACTTGGCCTTTTCAAGAAAGCAGGTCAGGATCCTTGCTCAGCCTGAGGCCTCAGCTGCTGCCCAGCTCCGAAGCTGCCCTGGTGGAGTGGAGAAGAGATGTTCTCTTGGGAAGAGAGGAAGGTTTTAGACTCTAAGAAAGTATTCTGAGTTGAAGAATATCCCTCCCCAATCCATGCCCATGTGGACCCTTGAGAAAATCTAGGTGCAGTAGTTACCCCTGAATTCCCAGGGCCCAGAAAGCTGAGGAAAGATGTTTGCTATGAGTGTTGAGGCCAGCATGGGCTACATAGTGAGTTCTATGCAAACCTGGGTTACAGTGTGAGACCTTATCTAAAACCAAAACCAAAACCAAAACAGCAACTAACAGATGGGCCTGGAGAGATGGCTCAGTGGTTAAGAGCACTCATTGCTCTTCCAAAGGTCCTGAGTTCAATTCCCAGCACCCACATGGCAGCTCACAACTGTCTGATGCCCTCTTCTGGTGTGCAGATGTACATGCAGACAAAGTCTCCATATACATAAAAAAATAAAAAGAAAAAGAAAAGCCAGAGCTAAGAATGGTTGTTTATACCTGTAATCCCAGTATTTGGGAGACTGAGGCAGCAAGGTTTCTATGAGTTTGATGACAGACTGGGAAGAAAGAGATGGTTCTCACATATGCTGGAAGAGGCATTCCTTCACCTTGAACTTGACCGAGGGGGCATGAAACCTTTATCTCATACCTAGGACATCCAGAAAACAGTAGTTGAATTTGCAAGTGAGCAAACAGTTGGGTGCATGAAAAACAAACCCAGAGTCAGAACTCCCACTGAAGCATGCCTGGCCTGTGCAGACCTGAATGGCTTCTGGAGGGAGTATGTGGATAAATGAATGACCCTCCTTACACACACACACACACACACACACACACACACACACACACACACCAGTGCGTTCTCTTTCATATCAAGGCACTGATACGTCTTCATCCTCTTATCTGGCTTGTTTGAAGGGTCATCTTATTCCCTGAGGTCAGGCCTGGTCCTGCCCATCCACCCTAGCTCCTCTCCAAGGCCTCAGTCTCCTAAGTACTGGGATTACAAGTATAACCAAGCATTCTTGGCTCTATTTTTATCTATCTATCTATTTATTTGTCTGCATGTACATCTGCAGGGCATCAGACCATTGTGAGCTGCCATGTGGGTGCTGGGAATTGAACTCAGGACCTTTGGAAGAGCAGTGAGTGCTCTTAACCACTGAGCCATCTCTCCAGCCCTAATCTGTTCATTTTTTTCTGAGGTAACATTTCACACTGTAGCCCAGGTTTGCACAGAACTCACTATGTAGCCCATGCTGGCCCCAAACTCCTAGCAATCCTTTTTCCCCAAGGGTCCACATGGGCATATTCTTCAACTCAGAATATGTTCTTAGAGTATAAAACCTTCCTCCCTGGCTCACAAACCCTCAGAGGACAAGTCCTTGGGAAATGTGCACACAGGCTCATCTTCTCATGAATATTGAAGACACATCATGAATATTTATCACTGGGATCGTGTCTCCCCAGGATGATCTGTTTGAATTCCTAATATGTGCCCCTTAGAATGTGACCAGACCAGAAACAGAGACTTTTCAGAGCTAATCAAGTTAAGATGACGTCACTAGGGGGTGCCCTAATTGAGCAGGACTAGGGGTATTAGAAAAGGGAAGCTTGGTGACAGGCACTAGCACAGGGAGAAGCTGTGTGAAGATGAAGGCAGACGTTAGGATGCTGCTTGACAGGCCAAGGGTACCCAAGGTTGCCAGCAGTCTCCAGGAGGAGGACCAGCTACTCCTGAGAACTTCCAGACACCTTGACCTTGGGCATCTGGCCTCCTGACTATGAGACAATATAGTTTTAGTGTTTAAGAAAGTCAGTTTGTGGGTCTTCTGCAGCTGTTTTAGCAGATGCACACACAAGGGTTGAGGGGAGCACAATTTCTCTGCTTTCTGTAAGATGGGTCTTCCTTTATACCGGACCTTCTCCAGGCCTGCCTGGGTCTCTATGATTTTGGCTGTGAGCCTCATTTCTGGAGGAGCCCTAGCCTCAACATTTATCCTACATGTGGATATGGGCGTAACAGCCCTGGAGACTCAGGAGTGAGTGTGGCTCTTTGTTGTTAGATATTTGTTTGTTCTTGTGGGTGGTAGGGGGGGCCGCCACCCAGCTCCCAAATAAATCACACAAGGAGGCCTATTCTTACTTATAAATGCCCAGCCTTAGCTAGGTTTATTTCTTGCCAGCTTTCCTTAACTTATCCAATCTACCTTTTGCCTCTGGGCTTTTTCCGTTCTCTTACTTCTGTAAATCTTACTCTTACTCCATGGCTTGCTGTGTAGCTGGGTGGCTGGCCCCTGGCATCCTCCTCCTTCTCTGGCTACTTCTCTTTCCTCCCAGATTTCTCCTTCTAAATATTCTCTCTGCCTGCCAGCCCCACCTAGCCTTTCTCCTGCCTCGCTGTTGGCCGTTCAATTCTTTATTAGACCATCAGTAACACAGTAACACAGTTTCACAGAGTTAAACATTAAATGCAACATAAACAAAAGTAACACACCTTAAAATAATATTCTACAACAGCTTTTTCCACTGACCCTCCAGGTTTGGGAAGGGTCACAGGTGCCTGAGAAGGCTTCCTTCGGAGCCTGTTAGATGGGTCATTGTGGGAATGTCAGTGATATGCAAGAAGCCATCAACTGGACACCCAATAACTTGGGACTCAGACAGTCACCAGTGCCTTCAGCTCAGGTCCCAGGTGATAATTAAAACTCAGCTGGATCTGTGCCCTTGTTCTGCCACCCCCCCCCCCCGTGGCCCCTTTTACTGAGTTTCCAAAAGGCTTTCATAATGCATGCTTTGGCAGGCTGGCATGAGGGTGAGCAATGCTGCCATCAGCATTAATGAAGCTTTGAGCAACAAAAGAACCAGAGGACTGAGTCACTTGTGCCACTGTGCCCGCTGGGCTCCGGATGCGCTCCGAGAGTGTGACCACAGCACTGAGTGCTGCTTCTCCCCGGGCAACTGCTGAGTCAAAGGCTGTATTGTTACCCGGCCCATTGATGGACATTCCTGTGTGTCTCTCAGCAAACAGCTGCCCTGGTGTGTGAGCTGCAGCTTGTGGAAGTGCCATCCGCCCGCTCTCTTGCCAACCTTGGATACGATGGCTCTGTTGATCTGCTTTCTGTGGGGCCTGGACCAGTGTTGTGTACACTGGCCAAGTGGGATGCTTGTGTGCTTACTGCCCATCTCTGACCTGTTTTCAGTGAATTGTTTGTGCCTTTGTCTTTTGTTTTTTTCTTTCTTTCAGATTATTAAATTAAGGATTCAACAGCTCTACAGAAGTCATTTCCTCGGTGTTTCGTGGGAAGATGGCTTTGATTGGCAGGAGCTCATTTCCCCTTAGGGGAATGCATTCAGCTGTGTGGTGTAGTAGTCGGCAAATGTGAAAATGTGAATCTTGCTTCAATAGCTGCATGGCTGTGGGTATGTATTTGTGCTCTCCCGAGCCTCAATTTTTCTACCCTTGAAGTGGAGATAACAATCTAGGGCTTCTTGGGATGTTGTGAGGATTCTTGTTATAATTTATGTAAACACTGAGCTGAGCAGGTGCCCTTTAGGCATTCTGAAAACAAGAGTTCAAGGCAAAGGTGCTGTTCTTGGGGGTGAAGGGAAGAGAAAAACAGAGTTGCTGGGCCTTCTGTTTGTGCCTTCTGGACAACAACATTGGACAGGGGTGTTAGTGTGGAAGTGAGTAGGCGAGACAGTGAGACCATGTCCAAGAAAAACAACATGTGCTGTAGAAAAGTGCTTGCCTAGCCAGTACAAGGCCCAGGATTCCACCTTCAGCACTGTAAAACCAAAACCCAAACCAGGAACTAAACAATGGAAACAGACCCGTCGTGGAATAGAATCTTTGTTTAACTATGTGGAGATGTGTTGTTTTTGTTTATGTTGTACTTGTTTAACTATGTAAAGATGTGTTACTGTTTCACCTTGCCTGCCTAAGGCACCTGATAGGTCTAATAAAAAGCTGAATGGCCAATAGCTAGGCAGAGGAGGGACAGGCAGGGATTGTGGGCAGAGAAAAGGGGAGCCAGCTAGCTAGATGCTGATGAAGCAGGAAAGCAGGATGGACAGTATGTAGATGAGGTAAATGAGCCTCGGGGCAGCACATAGATTATTAGAAATGTTTAATTTAAGTTAAAGAAAAAGAGCTATCTAGAAATAAGCCTAAGCTAAGGCTAAGCGTTCATAATTAATGATAAGTCTCCATGTCATGATTTGGGGGCTGTTGGTCCAAGAACGCCTGCTACATAGATCCACGAAGCACACAAGTACAATGAATGGATATGGAATCTAAGATACTATGTGTAATACAACAACAACAAATCTGTAAGAGAAATGTGTGCACAACAGGCAAATGAGTGGATTTCAAGAGAGATTTAGCAATCTGTGAATAGAACCATGTAGAAACAACAGGACTGAAAATCTGCAATCTAGTTCACCTAAGAACCCAGTAAGGAAAGAGAATGGAAAATAAGGATGTTTAGTTACATTAGAAGGAGAAGGAAAGGAAGAAAAAAGAATAGAGAGCACAAGACTGTATTGTTGCTGAGCTCTGACAACCGGAAGCCGTGGTGAATTGATGATGTTACTGGTCAGCTGACTTGGGTTCTTTTGTGAGGAGAAAGTGCTCAGTGTTGGTCTTCAGAGCTTCGGTCTCCCTCCGACACCTAGCCACAGGGAACAGGGGCAACAGGCCCCCAGGAGCAGCGGCAGGTGGCTCTTTCTAGTATTAGAGCACTCCTGTGCAGACCTGGGATGTCAGGACATTGGGCCACTATACAGGCCTAAGGCAGGATTCTTCAGTGGCCAGTGTTTGGTTTCTCAGGCCTGAGCTGTTTGAGACCCTCGGCCCTAACGACTGGACAACTCTCTAGAACTCTCCCGGGCTATCTCTGGCTCGTTACAGCCTGTGTCCTTCAGCTGCACCTCTCTTCTCTGCCCTCCTTGTTCTTGCACTGGTTGCTCTCTTGAATCGCTTAGCTGCCTTCCATTGCTACGGCCATCGGTCATCGTCACAGCCGCTGCCACCTGAGCAGCTGTTGCTGCTGGCAGCGCCGCTGTCAGCCTGGGTCTTGTGGTGCTGCTTGTGGTGCTGCTGTCAGGGCAACTGGCAGTCCTGCTGTGTCTGCAGCTCAGCCTGCTGCCGGCTTAGCTTTGCCTGCTTGGCTGTCAATTAGCCATGGCTTTGCCCCTTCGGTGGCTTGTTCTGTCATCTGGTCAACCACTGTAGACACGCTACTCCTTCTGCTTCTGCTTCCTCTTCCTCTTCTTCTTCCTTCTTTTCTCCTCCTCTTCTTCTTCCTCCTCCTCCTTCTCTTCTTCTTCTTCTTCGTCCTCCTCCTCCTCCTCCTCTGCTATGCTACAAGAGCTACCCATGTGTGCTGGCTAATTTTATGTCAACTTGACACAAGCTAGAGTCATTGGAGAGGAGGGAGTCTCAGTTGAGAAAATGCCTCCATAAGGTTATAAGCAAGCCAGTAGATGTAGAGTGTTTTCTTAATTAGTGATTGATGGGGAAGGGCCCAGCACATTGTGGGTGGAGCCACTTCCTGGACAGATGGTTCTGAGTTCTATAAGGAAGCAGGCTGAGCAAGCCATGGGGAGCAAGCCAGTAAGCAGCTCCCCTCCATGGCCTCTGCATCAGCTCCTGCCTCCAGGATCCTGCCCTGCTTGAGTTCCTGTCCTGATTTCCTTCAGTGATGAACAGTGATATCGAAATGTAAGCCAAGCAAAGCCTTTCCTCCCCAAGTTGCTTTGGTCATGGTGTCTCATCACAGCAATAGAAATTCTAAGATACTGCGATGATACTAAAAGTAGCCAAGAAAAGACCACTTCAGAGAAACCTTGTGTTGAGCTTAATGTTGTATATCGGCACAGGAGGGCACCCTTCAGCCAGCTGACTTTGTCAACCAAGCATTGTGCTTGTGTAGCTAGAAAGGGGATATTTGGATCAATCACAAGCAACCTCTCATGCAAAGGAGGCTTGATGATTGCATCAATCACAACATTATCCCTTTTACACCAGTCATAGTGTCCTTGTGCATGGCCACTTGGGGAAATGCTTTCCATTCTGGCTAAGATAGAATAATTTCAGGGTCATCTAGAGCTCGCCAAAGTGTGTGAGAGCAGAAAGTCCTGTATGAACTGTCCCAATCCTGGCTGGGGCTGTGCCTTAGCGAGCTGGAGCATCATTATCACTAATGCTGATTTTTAACAGATTTTAATGCACTTTTACTTGGCCAAACATCTCTCCAGTGACCCAGGGAGAGGGCACTCTCCCTGATCTGTCTTATGGAAACCTTTTCAGTGATGGGAAGGTGGAGCAGGTTCCAGAGTGAATGGGAAGCCAGGCACAGTGAGCTGAGGGCCGAGGGTAAAGGTGCTGGGAGGGAACCATGGCACATCTGGCTACTCTAGAAAGGTCATGTAAGAGATCGGAATGTCCTTTCTCGGGCTGATTGTGTAGCATCGGTGGAGGAGTATGCATGCTCCCCTATTGAAGAACAGCCTTCTTGAGAACATCTAAGTCTTCCTCCATAGGCCAGGCAGAAGGGCAGAGTGGGCCAGACCACCCACAGGATCAGAGGCTGCTCCATCCCCTGCTCTAACCACAGAGCTCTTGCACTGGTTTTTTTCTGTGGGGCCTTGGGTCAGTCTGGGCTTCCCTTTCCTCACCTGTGAGATGAACTGAAAGAGTTGAATGCTGTCCCCCAGCACTGATGGGGACTGAGTGCAAGAGATAGCCCAGGTTCCCGGGATATAAGGAGTTAACAGTTACACAGAAAGCTGAGAGCACTGAGGATGGAGCACACCCCAACCCTCCCCTGGTAATATTGTTGGTTTTGGTGCTGACTTGCCACAAATTAGCATCACCCGAGTAGGGATCCTCACCTGAAGAACCATCTTGACGGTTTTCACTGACATGGACAGCGTAGTCTAGGGGCAGTCCAGATTAAAAAAAAAAAAAAAAAAAAAAAAGCATGGCAGGGCTGGAGAGATGGCTCAGTTAGGAGCATTGGCTGCTGTTCCAGAAGACCTGGGTTCAGTTCCCAGCACCCACATGACAGCTCATAACTGTCTGTAATTCTAGTTCCAAGGGGCTTGACACCCAAAACAGAACATCAAGGCACACAAAACAAAAATAAACAAATTTTAAAAAGAGCACGGCAGAAGGAAGATTACTCACCTTTAGCTCTATTAACCTTCCCTCTGGTCGGCTCAGATCTCCCTCTTGCTAACAATTGATTCACCCTGTTGTTGCTGATCCTTCGCTGATACCACTAATCCCAGAAAGCAGTATTTCTAGGCTTCCATTGTGGACTAAAGGTCAGAAGCTCTCCAGGAAACTTCCAGGTTTTTGGCACAAGATTGGGACTTAGCCATGTGGGCAGAGCAACTATGGAGTTATCAGTCTCTTCAGGGAGAGACAGCCACTGTGGGATGACTCCCACAGCTGAGGCAGTCAGCCTCAGGGACTGAATAACTACTGGGTTCTCAGCCTTTCAGGTGCAATTCAGCTGGTGCTGCTATTTTAACATAAGCTGACTTAATCAATTCACACACACACACACACACACACATCGGTTCAGTTCCTCCAAAGAACCCCACACTGCTATACTTACATACCTTTGCTGTGGGATGGTCTATATGTTAAATTGCTCTGATTGGTCAATAAATAAAACACTGATTGGCCAGTGGCCAGGCAGGAAGTATAGGCGGGACTAATAGAGAGGAGAACTGAGGGAACAGGAAGGCAGAGGAGTCACTGCCAGCCACCGCCATGACAAGTAGCATGTGAAGACACCGGTAAGCCACGAGCCATGTGGCAAGGTATAGATTTATAGAAGTGGATTAATTTAAGCTATAAGAACAGTTAGCAAGAAGCCTGCCATGGCCATACAGTTTGTAAGCAATATAAGTCTCTGTGCTTACTTGGTTGGGTCTGAGTGGCTGTGGGACCTGACGGGTGACAGAGATTTGTCCTGACTGTGGGCAAGGCGGGAAAACTCTAGCTACATACCTTCCTGCCACCAAGAATCCCAAGTTTGTATCTGGAACCTTAGAACACTGGCCAGGATGGACTAGCCTGGCCTAACTGCTGCCTCTCTGTCCTACCAGGTCCATCCACACCAGGATAAACGTGTGGGTCCCTTGCTACATATCCATCCATGCTTTAGGTACACTCCCAACAAGCAGCTGCTCCTTGCTATGACTGGCCAGGGACCCATGATGGTGCTTCTGGGAGGGTGGATCCAGGGCAGAGTTCCTGGAAGACCCCAGATGTGGACTTGGGGCTACTTGGGTGGGGAACTTGGGTTGGTTGGTCCCAGGATGTGGGAGCACAATCTGGAAGTAGTGTTCTTTGGTCCCAAGTACTCTGCATCCAGTAGTTCATAGCAGGGGGACAAGCTTGGACA